TTTATACAAAACGTCAACGTTACGATGTTGAAGCATATAACGTCAACGTAATGACGTGACAGCATTGATTAAAAAACAATACTAAATTGAAACGGCTGTAAAAAGAAATCCAGAAAAGATATTCTTAAAAAATAAAATGTTTTACAACATACTAATCTTCAAATATAATGTGAGAAAGGTTAATTTATTTTGATGACTGGGCGGATTTTTGCACTTCGTGAACTTAGCTCTTTGGTATACAGCATTTGTGGGTTAAGGGGAACAAAATTTGTGTATTTCATGGTCCCTGCCCCTGGGGCCTGAGGGGTGGGGTCAAAACCACTAAAATGAATGCAATCTTTAAAAATCTTTTTATTTACTCCTGGACATCAAGCAGTCAAACTATTGACATGATTGTAATCAGCATTGAGTCTTCTACCAAAATTGTGAATTTCATGGCCCCTGGATCTGGTTTCTGGTATTAGGGTGGGGCTATATAGACATATATAGTAAATGTGCATTATTTCCCTTAAAATCTTCTATTCTGCTCCTGGGTATTAAATTGACTAAGATCATAGTTATGATGACCAAGAGTGCCTCTTCAAAAATTGTGAAATTCATGGCCCCTGGGTCAGGGGTTCTGGTGTTAGGACTGGGCTATACAGATCAGATAGTAAATGTGAATTATTTCTTTGAAAATCGTCATCTCTGCTCCTGTGTAATAAATTAACTAACTAAGACCATATTAATGATGACCAAGAGTGCTTCTTAAAAATTGTGAAATTCATGTCCCCTGGGTCAGGGGGTTCTGGTGTTAGGGTGAGGCTATATAGATCATATAGTAAAAGGGCATTATTTCTTTGAAAATCTTCTCTGCTCCTGGGTATTAAATTAACCAACTAAGAACATTGTTATGATGACCAAGAGTGCCTCTTCGATAATTGTGAATTTTGTGGTCCCAAGGTCAGGGGTTCTGGTTAGGGCGGGGCTCTATTGATTGTATTGTAAAAAACATTAATTCTTCAAAAATCGTTTTCTCTGCTCCTCGGTATTAAAGAAGCTAAGTACATAGTTATGATGTGCAAGAGTGTTATAACGAGCAAGATAAAACACGTCTGTTCGGTACAAATATTTCATCTAAATTAAACACAGTTATTTACTTTGTAACAATATACAATACAAAGTACTCAAAGATGTCATTTCTATTATGACGTCATCACGATTGTGACGTCATAATCCAGGAATGTACACTGCACATTACATGATATAAGTTAATTGGTATAGAATTTATAACAAGTGTTTCTTCCAAAATTGTGAATTTTGTTGTCCCTGGTTTGGGGGGTTGTGATGTTACATGTAGGGTGAGGCTTTATTGATTATATAGTAAAAGTCAGACTTGGGGCGAATTACATTGTAAAGTAATGCAGAACATTACATTACTTCAACAGTTTGGGCATTAAATTACATTACCATTACAATGTTTTCTTAAAGTAATGCATTACATTACTATTACTTAGTAAAGTAATATATTACCATTACCATGACTTTTGGAGGTTTTTAAAAATAGAAAATTAAACAAAACTTTGCAATTTTTTTTTTCAGAAGCATGTGTCCATCTTTCAAAACTAAACATATTAAATGATATTTCAAGTTTGATTTCAGGTATTTGTATATACATGTATTACACTGTCAATAACTTAATTACATTCATAGAAAGTTTAAACTTCTTTATTGTCAGTAATAAAAAATATGAACAATATGCATGCACTTTTTGTGTAACTATTGATGTTAAAAAGCAATTTAACTTTTAGGACACTTTAAAAACTGTCTAAAATATTCAATAATAAAGTTTAGATTATTTTGATCAGGTGCCCTCTGAAGAAAAAATGCATTGACAAAGTTGTACAAAAGATAGACAGTATGTACATTTTGCTTTGCTAAGCATAGAATGCCTGTATGTCTTCTATTTTCTTTGGTTCAGTGTATTTTTCATGGTCGATTCAAAATACACCAGCTCAATTAAATTGTTTAAAAACACAGGAGAAAGGGACAGGTACATGTAATTTGGAGCACTTCTCCAAACAATGCACTATTTAAGTACGGCTCCGTGTAAAAATCATGCAGACAGCACAGAAAAGGTGATTCATCGACCGTCTTCAAATTCAATGAAATTGGGTTTAATCTATTTATTTGGGTCTAAAATGAATATGAACGGTTGATTTTGTTATAATTCTTCTTTTTTCATACAGCCAGGGATAAAGTACTTGAGGTGTAATTTTGTATAGATAGTGTGCAAATAATGCCTATTTCAGAAAAGAATATCTTTAAAACCCTAGAAGATGTACAAAAACTTAATACATAATTCAAGTGAACATGGAAGGCTTAATAAAAATTTACTTTAATATTTTTGTGCAAACGAAGTATTGAAAAGATACAAGGTGTTTAAAGTCGAGAATTTGTCAAGATTCTTCAAATGAGTTATCTCCCTTTGCAATTTTACATAGGTGGCGCTAGTAAAAAAAATAGCAGCCTCCATTGTTAGCTGTACGCTGCAAAGTTACTTTGATGCGTCCTGTGATCTTTATTGCAAAAATATGTGTGAAGTGACATATTAGGCATAGTTTTCGGGCAAAAGTATAGCTATGTGTCGTGTTGATTAGTATATTGACCTTGTTGACGGTAACTGGAAATTCCAGAAGCCCCCCGTTTTTTGTAGAATACCCATACAGAGGGGTAGAAGCCCCAATAAAGTGGTAGAAGCCCCATAAAATTGAATTAAATGGGGTACATGAAACCCTAAGGTGATGTTTAAATGAATGATACTGATAACCATAAATTTTTATTGCCAATTTTACCTCAGAGTCGACAGAAATCGGGCGCCATTTCTTCGTGTCATCATATACCGTACACCACGCCCGATCTAAAATCGCGATCGCTGAAGTCGTTTAGAGTACCGGTAATCCGTGAAAATCATTACCGTCACTTGATCGAAAGTGAATAATTTAAATATAATATATATTTTTATTTTCAAAAAAAAAATATATGAAAGGAAAGTTAAGAATATCTATTAGATGAAGCATTAAATATTTACATATTTCCTAAATGAAATAAAATATTAATTATGAAGATATTTCATGGCCTACTTGAATACATTTATCCCCACTGGTTTGTACCTACCAAAAAAAATTTTATATCAAAAATCATTATTGAAAATATGAAAATATTTGTATAGATGATGTGTACTGTTACATAAAAACATAGTGATTTAACCTGTTGATAGAGAATTACTGTAACAGTGAAAATACTAATTAATAAAGTTCCTTTTTTAAAATTCCAATCATTTATAACATAAAATTAAGTTAAATAAAATTAAGTTAAATTAATTAATGAATAAAGTTGTTAATTTATTTAATTTCAAAGGTATTTGTTTTGGTTCGTTTTCCATCTATGGATGTTTATTTATATTAGAAATTCTGTATTCATGCATTCATTATTATTTTCTTGTTACTTGTAATTTTTTTTTTTTTGGTTCTGTTTTATTGGGGAAAGGTTTTATTATTATTATTATTATTATTATTATTATTTTGTGTGCATGTAATAGAACAAATTATACTCATTGATATTAGAAAGCAATAATTTGTATCCATTAGAATGAAATTATTAGAATCCAGGTCCAGGAAATAAAAAAGTTACTTATAAATTAATAAAATGTGCATAATTGCATATGCAAACACTTGTAAAGTGGGTATTATGAGAATATGGTGAGAATATCATTTACACATCAGCTAGCTGTGTTATGTACTGAGATAGAGAGGCACCCCCGTGTGTGTACATCCAATATATACACAGCTGTTGACACTTGGTAAAGTTGACAATAAACTCCTTTTGTTCAAACACCTGTTCTCAGCTAGTCTGACCAACCCCCCTCTGGCAGGGCATGTGTATATATACACTGAACCTTAACTATGCTCAATTGTTCTTGACTTTCATTATCAAATTGTAAAATAAATTATTTTGTAATATATATATTTTTTTTAAGTAATGTTGATATGTAATGGTAATATGCATTAAATACAAATTTTTATTTTAACTTAAGGATGTTGCACACACATAAGGAAAATAAGGAAAATATGAATTTTGATAATTTTGATACTAATATTTTAAATAATTATAAATTAATAAAGACCTTTCAAATTAGTAATACATGAAAAATATTCACAGTTTCCCTATGTTCCCAGCTCTAGCCATGTGAAGCCCTCCTTAATTGTAGAGCCATTATTTGAATTTTGAAACAGAAAAGCCAAAGGACCGAAAATTAAAAGAAAATAAAAAAAACTTTAAAAAGACCTAAAGATACTATTATTATTCCTAGTCAATATTTTGTTCATGTATAAGCATATAACAGTAAAGTAAAGTGAAAGTAATTGACATAAAATTAAATAACATTAAAAAAAATTTCATAAAAAGGAATTTATAATTTTATTAGCAACTAAAATAAATTATTATACCTCTGTGTATTTTTTCTATATAAAAATAAGACGAATAAACATGCTATTTTTTCTAAACAGTCTCTATGGTGAAATAGTTTTTGTGCTATTTGCCCATGGTGAATAGTCCTCAAACTATTCAACGGCAGCATTCGATTTCCCTTGCTTTTCATCTCAGAAAACTTCTGATTTTATATGAATTGTGACGTATATATTATGACGTAACAAAAGTAAAGTCGACATTGGTATAATAAAACACCTATTTACTGACTATTCGGACAATAGCAAGTTTATCGTCCCCCTCAACAGCAAACTATTTCCCTCGGCTGCGCCTCGGGAAATAGTTTGCTGTTTTGGGGGACGATAAACTTGCTATTGTCCTCATAGCCAGTAAATAGGTGTATAATATGTTCCTGACCTAACCTTACACAACACCAAACAGTATTCACTGGTATAGCGCAACTCGTGTGCAGACGAATATTTCCAGTATAACAGCGAGAGAAAATGGACGACAAAATCGGCACAATCAATTTTGATGAGATTGACTTTTTAGCAATAACCGAGGATGATTTCACTCTATCACAGATATGTGATGCCATTGAAAAAGAAGAGGAACTCATTGATGGTATGAATCACTTTGACATTAACCCGACAGGCGCGAATGCACTGAACCTCGATCTGTTTGGAGATTTTAATTTGGACGGCATGGACGGAGGTGCCACCGATAGTTTCAGTGAAACGAACAGCGATGAGTCGACCAAGCGTTTCGGGGGAATTTCTGATTCCGAAATTGAGAAGTTGATTTCTAGTCAAGAAAATCAAAATACAAAGAGAAATACTCGTTGGGCATTTGGGGTTTTCGAAAAGTGGCGCCAAGAAAAAAACAAGAATCTGCCTTTTGAACTTGCAGTACCGGAACTTCTACACATGGATGTTTCTACTATGAGTTATTCATTGACACATTTTGTATGCGACGCACGGAAGAAGGACGGAAGTGAATACCCACCTAAGTCGGTCTACTATCTAGTTTGTGGATTGTTAAGGTATTTGCGAGACAACAAGAGACATGACATTAATTTCTTTTCAGACTTGAAATTTGCAGAGTTTAGAAAAACGCTGGATGCTCAAATGAAATCCCTCTTGTCTAAAGGACTGGGAACTAAAGTCAAACAGGCAGATCCAATAACTCAAGAAGACGAAGAACTGCTTTGGGAAAGAGAAGTACTGGGAAACAAGTCCGCGGAAACGCTACAGTATACAGTGTTTTTTTACATGTGTAAATTATTCGGGTTGCGGGGATTTGATGAGCATAGAGACTTGACATGTGCAAACGTCACGATTGGTGAGGATGGGCGAGGTAAATACATCCACTTTTGCGGCGGTTCAAGCAAGACTTTTAAGGGAGGACTTGCCCACCTATCTCTGCAAAGTAAAGACATTCGGCACTATTGTCAACCAGGTACGGTATTTTTCCTTTAGATTGATTTTTTTACATTTAAAACTACTAATTGATGAATATTAATTTATTTTTGTTACTTTTTTTTTAAGGAGATCGATGCATAGCCGACTATTTTCATCAGTACCTCGATGCACTTGGAAACGAGGGGGAGTTTTACAGACGTCCACTTGCAGGGAACCCTATTCGATATGGTGCACAAGTTGTTGGTGTTAATAAGATTAAAACCTTCATGAAAATCATCTGCAAAAAGGGGGGTCTCGTTGGAAACTTTACTAACCACAGTGGAAAGCGCACCTGTGCTAGCCAGTTGTACAGCGCTGGAATGGATGAACAGGCGATCATGGAGCGAACTGGACATAGGTCAGAGCGAGCAGTGCGGAAGTACAAACGATCATGTCCAGAGGTAGCAGAGAATTTCAGTAAAATACTTGATCCACCGGCGCCGAAAGCAATGAAAATGGAAACACCGTATGACGAAAATGATAACCAAGAACCTATGTGTGCTGAAAATACGCTGGAAAAAGTCTGTGAGAGTTTGCAGTCTATGGCCTCTAGCAGCAATTCGTTTAAACAAATCGACAACAGGGCAATGGCGGATTTGACCAACAAGTTTCAGTTTGAAAACTGTAAAATTTCGTTCAATTTTTGAGACAAACGCTTGTGACATGGCTTAATGCAGAAAAATTTTAAAATTCTGTTTAAATCATACATGACAGTACATGTGTCAACCTTTTTTTTTGTTGGTTTGTGAAAAAAAAAAATGTTTTTTAGCACTTTGTCTTTATTTTAAAAGTGTGCAATAACAAGTTATCACATTGGAAGTTAACGCATGCTTAAGCTCCACCCCCTTTCATTTTAACTGAATGTAACATTTAGGCAACTTCAAAGGGAAAATACCGCATCTATGATACAAATAAGATATAAGTAAACGCTCAATGCGTAATCCAGGTATTTAATCGCCCCCGGCGATTTACTCCCTCCTTGGAAATCAAAAGTCAGTATCGGTTAGCATGTTATTAACACACTAATCATAGTTAAGAATCATCCAAAATCATCACAACAAAACACTGTATAATTCATCCTGAAACAATATTTGAGCGAAGTATATCCCAGCACAACTATATCAAAAAACTGCGTCCCCGTATCGAATAAGTACCCGTATATATACTAAATGACCATCACTCCTAAGGAGTGATGGGGTATAAACAAAGGACCGTCACTCCTAATGAGTGACCGGGTGTAAACAAACTATTCTAAAAATAGAACGAGTGACTGGGGTTACATAAATACTGTAGAATATTAACTTAACAATTAAAATAATAAATTTAGAAAAAGAGTGACTTCAAAATACGTAACAACATTTTGAATTGTCTTTAAAGCCATATATGGCGTATGTGCAATGAAAATTATTAGACTAAAATTATAAGAACTTATTATTTGTATCATTACTTTATATAAAGATAGAACTTTTCCGTAAATTACAAAATCTAAGTCAATTGCGTTATAAAGATATCACAATTTAATTTGGATTCTCAGAATTTTCTCCGACTCGGAAGAAAATACAAAAGATTTAAATAACACATTACAGAGAAGATAAAATCGTATTATTAGATGAAACGAGGTGTTCTCCGTGTTCAGAATTGTATGAAAAGCTTTAATTTAAATGTATTTACTATATTTCTTTACTTAATTTTTTTTTTCAAAAATATTTTTTTTTGATCAGTTACGCCATATATGGCTTTAAATTAAAACAAATATGAATTAAAAAAAAAAAAGTAAAGTAAAAAAAAACACACCACAAAATTAAAAAACGGAAGTTTTGGTTGAATTTTAACTACGAAAAAATCTCAGTCTTGTTAAGTGACAGGGCTGGGACGATACTGAACTTAGCCGATCCGATACATATCACGATACCTTAGGTGCGATACGATGCATATCACGATACATTTAAAACCAAATAAAACTAGATAATTTTTTTTAGAACATTTAATTTTGAACAAAACAGTGTGTGCAAATAAACTAATTTAACAAATGAACTGGGAATTAGAGTTTCTTGTCTCAAATTGACTGTTGTTTGTGCCCCGTCTTTTTAATATACGTCCCAGACACCCGATTTACTGCCAATTGGTTTCGTTTATTTGATGTAATCTGGCGTGTCGAACGCCATTTTGACGCTTATATTTAGAATTCTGTATCAACAAGACGTTTGTACTTTATTTGTGTTTGTTTAAACGTCTTGATGATACAGACTAAAGGACTAAAAATTTCAAATTCTTAAGCCCGGAAATTTTTGGAAATTAAAAAAAAAGCGGTAAGGTATCGTGATACTTAATTATATGAATCGATCCGTAGATCGTCAAAGTGAATACTGCGATGCATCGGTGCACCGGTGGATCGTCCCACTCCTATTAAGTGAACTGAAAATCTTTTATCATCTCCAAGCATAGGTATTTTATGTAATTTTACATTTCATTGCCAGTTGAATATGTCGACTAAAAATTTCCATTGCCTATCTGTTCACACTAATCCCATCTTCACGCCAAATGATTTTATTTGAATTCAATAAACCCACACATCTCCAAAATATCACATTCTGAGAATTCCCATATTTCCTTCGTAGTGTGTTATTTACGTCAAAAACAGTAGAATTGTACTTTCCTGGATCCATGGTTCCACAAATCATTTGCCTAAACATACTTCCAATAAATATTTTCTTAACAGTTTTTAGCTCACCTGAGCCGAAGGCTCAAGTGAGCTTTTCTGATCAAAATTTGTCCGTTGTCTGTCGTTGTCGTTGTCGTTGTTGTCGTTGTCGTCGTCGTCGTAAACTTTTCACATTTTCATCTTCTTCTCAAGAACCACTGGGCCAATTTAAACCAAACTTGGCACAAAGTATCCTTGGGTGAAGGGGATTCAAGTTTGTTCAAATGAAGGGCCACGCCCTTTTCCAAGGGGAGATAATCATGAATTTGTTAAAAATTAATGGCATTTTTAAAAAATCTTCTTCTCAAGAACCGCTGGGCCAGGAAAGATGAAACTCATGTTGAATCATCCTCAGGTAGTGTAGATTCAAGTTTGTTCAAATCATGACCCCCGGGGCAAGGGTGGGGCCAAAACGGCCGACCCAAGTTTTACATAGGAATATATAGGAAAAATCTTTAAAAATCTTTTTCTCCAGAACCACTAGGCCAGGAAAGATGAAACTCATGTGGAATCAACTTCAGGTAGTGTAGATTAAAGTTTGTTCAAATCATGACCCCCGGGGCAAGGGTGGGGCCAAAATGGCCGACCCAAGTTTTACATAGGAATATATAGGAAATATCTTTAAAAATCTTCTTCTCCAGAACCACTGGGCCAGGAAAAATGAAACTCATGTGGAATCATCCTCAGGAAGTGCAGATTCAAGTTTGTTCAAATCATGACCCCCGGGGCTAGGGTGGGGCCAAAATGGCTGACCCAAGTTCTACATAGGGATATATAGGGAAACCTTTTAAAATCTTCTTTTCAAGTACTTCAAAGCTATGATTAGTGATATTTATATGGAATCATCCTCAGGTAGTGTAGATTCTAGTTGGTTCAAATGATGAACGCCTGGAGGGGGGGGGGGGTAAATTCAAGCCCGATGTGCTCAGGTGAGCGCTGTGGCCCCTGGGCCTCTTGTTCAATAATGTTTTGGATTCCTAACACTATATATCTTTTTCTCCCACTTACAGAAACACTTTTAAACCAGTCTTAAACCATTAAAACCCCAAGATGTTTTTAAAATTGTATATTTATTATTTTTTCTAGAGTAGGGTTAGTATCACGCAGTATTCCTCCCCCACCAGACGGGTGCAGACCAGTGAATACTGTTTGGTGTTGTGTTAGGTTAGGTCAGGAACATATTATACACCTATTTACTGGCTATGAGGACAATAGCAAGTTTATCGTCCCCCAAAACAGCAAACTATTTCCCGAGGCGCAGCCGAGGGAAATAGTTTGCTGTCGAGGGGGACGATAAACTTGCTATTGTCCGAATAGTCAGTAAATAGGTGTTTTATTTGATACCAATGTCGACTTTACTTTTGTTACGTCATAATATATACGTCACAATTCATATAAAATCAGAAGTTTTCTGAGATGAAAAGCAAGGGAAATCGAATGCTGCCGTTGAATAGTTTGAGGACTATTCACCATGGGCAAATAGCACAAAAACTATTTCACCATAGAGACTGTTTAGAAAAAATAGCATGTTTATTCGTCTTATTTTTATATAGAAAAAATACACAGAGGTATAATAATTTATTTTAGTTGCTAATAAAATTATAAATTCCTTTTTATGAAATTTTTTTTAATGTTATTTAATTTTATGTCAATTACTTTCACTTTACTTTACTGTTATATGCTTATACATGAACAAAATATTGACTAGGAATAATAATAGTATCTTTAGGTCTTTTTAAAGTTTTTTTTATTTTCTTTTAATTTTCGGTCCTTTGGCTTTTCTGTTTCAAAATTCAAATAATGGCTCTACAATTAAGGAGGGCTTCACATGGCTAGAGCTGGGAACATAGGGAAACTGTGAATATTTTTCATGTATTACTAATTTAAAAGGTCTTTATTAATTTATAATTATTTAAAATATTAGTATCAAAATTATCAAAATTCATATTTTCCTTATTTTCCTTATGTGTGTGCAACATCCTTAAGTTAAAATAAAAATTTGTATTTAATGCATATTACCATTACATATCAACATTACTTAAAAAAAATATATATATTACAAAATAATTTATTTTACAATTTGATAATGAAAGTCAAGAACAATTGAGCATAGTTAAGGTTCAGTGTATATATACACATGCCCTGCCAGAGGGGGGTTGGTCAGACTAGCTGAGAACAGGTGTTTGAACAAAAGGAGTTTATTGTCAACTTTACCAAGTGTCAACAGCTGTGTATATATTGGATGTACACACACGGGGGTGCCTCTCTATCTCAGTACATAACACAGCTAGCTGATGTGTAAATGATATTCTCACCATATTCT